CCTACTACAAAAATGGTGATCCACGTTTCGTGCTCTAAAAGGAGATTAAGATGCACATAATCATACAACTACTCAAATGATTTTTGAAGTTTTAAAGAATTTTTAAGAGACTGAATCGGCTACAGATATTTTAAGGCCTGTGCATCTTCGTTTTTCTCTTTTCATTTCAATAGTGAAAGTGTAGCCGAAGTCCCAAATATTTCCATTTCTGCATGATTTCAACAGCTGGGACTTTCTTAACGTCACACTTAACGTCACAGTTTGCCGTAATCATATAAAGTCCATCTCACACATTAATTGAAGCCAGCTGATCATTCTCAATGCCGTGCATACGTTCATTGGATGCTTGAACAACAAGCAGTTGACGTGTATTTTTCGAACAAAATTTTCTTCAGCGACGATAAAAATTCCCTCTCTGGAGTTACATACGTAAAAAAACATATTTGTCTGTTTCAACAAGATGATGCTACATGCAACACAACACGAGCGAATATGGCTTTAATATGGAAGGAATTCCTGGCCGCATATCTCCTTTCTTTGTGATGTCATTTGGCAATCGAAATCATGCAAATTGAAACGCGATAGAACACATTCCTCCGAATAAACATTTAACTCTTGAACATTTCCAAACCAACATTCGTCAAGTTATGGCTGAGATACCACCCAATATAAGCGAAAAATTGGTTGAAAATTACCTCCAATGGAAAAAAGAAGTGACGTTTCACATAAATGCCAGGGCTCAAACTTTATAACAAAAAAGATTTTAATAAAAAAAAATTATTCTCAACGCATTTTATTTACGTTTATTTTCGAGACCGTAAAATGGATAATAGATATTGAATTTCCAAACAGATGTTGGAAATCATTTTTAATATTTAAGAATTTTTCATAAAGAAAAATGGCAACACCGCGTTGAAAATTATATTACAAAAGACTTTTTATATGCTTTTCTGAGCATATAGTGGCAATGCTGTCTGAGGAATTTATTCTGTGGGGGCTAGTTCTCTACATTTTTTTGAGTAAAATTGTCAAAGTAACGTTAACAAATAATATTTAAAAATACAGAATATTTTCCTTTCTCATTTTAATTTTATACTCCTAAGAAACCAAATTACGATGAATTTTTAGTTAGTAAAAGAGTGCACAGAAAATTGGCAACGAGGCATTAAATGCCTATTGAATAAATGATGACCGTCGATCGTCTGGTAAGACATAAAGGAAGAGGTCATAGCATTTACGGACCATCTGGCGGTTATAGGATGTGGCGCATTGCGGACTTCACCAACTGCAGCTGTGAATGCCATATCAGATCTACTCTACTGTCTTCCAGAAAGAACTGACTACTGCATAACCTTCACTGATTTCATGAAAGCTTTCACCGATCGGTTAAAAGCGTGGTAACAGGGTCGATATCGGAATTTTCTCAAGGGAGATTGGTATTGGTAAGTTTATCGGAACACTGTTGCATTTTTGTGGTGGAAATGGCAGCTTTACATAAGGCTGTCAATTGTCTAGGCTTAATGCGCTTTTATAACTTTTGAAGGAATTTTCGGCGAAGCTCCTCTCATTTGTGGTGTTCGTCTTGATGTCTTTCTGACGGAAGGACCTAAGGTGTACTTTTAGCAGCCCCAGAATGGTCGGTGGATTGTTTTAAATCAGGAATACACTCGAAGGGCTTGACATTACCTTACAAGCGGCCACCGAAATTAGAAAAATAAATATTTTACAATCTTCAAAAATTGTAGGACCAAGACTCGGGCCTTACGAATTGCAATATGCCTGGCTAACCTCTCAGCTATTGCACTCGCTTTAAAATGCCTAAGATCTGTTATGCGATGGCGGAGAAGCTCATCCTTTCTCAGATGCTAAATTAAAAGGAAAAATATGTTATGGTTCTATTGTGACTGGGATAGATGAAGGTCGGACTAAAAATAAAAAAGGCCGGATATAATAGATTTTCTTATGGGGCATCTTCTATTGGGCAGGCATAGAGGGAGGCTGGGCATACCAGCAAAAGATTTCTGCAACAGTTTTAATGCAGGATGAACGGAAACCTTAAGACACGTCCCTTACGACTGCATCGCACTTTGGAAGAGTACATTTAGGACGGCAACATTTTGACTTGAGCGAACGTCGATTGCTCAGCTTTGCAAAGACAGACTTAGTTTTGTCGAACAGGGGAAGGACATTGAGATCATCAGTGGTACCACAACAACCAGTTAAACCTAACCTAAAAGTGCAATAAAAGTCACAAAAACAAATTTCAGTCCCCATTTTATTATCCTACAAACAAAATTTAGTTGTTTTCTTATTTTTAGCCACCAGTGTTCTTGCTTAATACAGTACTTACATACCCACCTGCATGAGGCAAACCAATTACACATTGTTACCCTCTGGCCACAAACTAATCGCCCCATGCAAAATGTACTCCCATCAATTTTTGTGGCCACATTGCCGTACATACAAAGTTTAACGCTTCGAGTGCAATTTGCTCCCATATGTTTTGGATAAGCTGAGCAAACTTTAAAATGTATATGCATTTATGGACAAAGTTTGTTTTGGGTTATGCGACTACATTAATTTCATTTAAATATGGCATATACTCGTTTGTGTAAAAATGTGCTGGCATGTAAATAAATAGCAGCTGGAGAGGGAGGAAAGGTAGATATAAGCAAATTTCAGAATTAAATTACTAATAAAGGCACCTGAAAATTTGGTGTGTTCATGTCCAGAGCATACTGAGTTTATGGAGGTAACACTAATTCCAGCCTCATAAATGCCAATGAGAGTCAGAGACGAGGATATGGCAAAACTGATTCCTTAATAAATGACGACGTGCAGTCGGGAAGAACATTAAAGCGGTAGGACTCGATGTTCTACCGGCTAAACTATTCACATATGGCGGCGAAGAACCAAGGCGCATGCATCAGCATTTTTTTCAAAAATTATCTGACGAGCTCAATCCATAAAGAGCCCCCTTAATATCGCATACAAGGTCCTTTCGAGCGTTTGTGTGAAAGAGTAAAGCCCGCCGTCAACAAACTGATTGGACCTTATCAGTGTGGAAAATGTACAATTGACCAGATATCCCACATGCCACAAATCGTAGAAGAGAAAATGGACAAACACCACCTCAACGTCAATTTTCAAGCAGCCTTCGACAGCATGAAAAAGAACTGCCTCTACGCCGCTATGTCTGAATTCGGTTTCCCCACACAAAATTTATACGGTAAACTGAACTTGAGCAACACTAAAAGCTTCGTCAGGATCCGTAATCGGATACCAAACGAGGCTTCAGACAAGGTGTTTCCTTATCATGTGACTTCTCTAATTTTTTGCTGAAGAAAATAATAAGAGCTGCAGAGCTTAATATATTGTATGGTAGAAGGTACAATCTTCTACAAGAGTGTACAGCTGCTGGCGTACGCCGATGACATTAACATTATTGGACTCAACAATCGCACCGTGAGTACTGCTTTCTCCAGACTGGATAAAGGGTCAAGGAACATGGGTTTAGCAGTGAACGAGGACAAGACGAAATATCTCCTGTCATCAAACAAACAGCCATCCCGTGCGCGACTCGGCTCCCACGTCATTGTTGATGGTCATAACTTTGAAGTCGTCGATAATTCCGTCTATCTAAGAAACAGCATCAATACCAATAATAAAGTCTAAGTTTACGAGAGAAAGGTGTATGATATATACGGCGCCATTGGCATAGTTCGGCGAATGAAGAAACAACGGCTGCGCTGGATTGATAAGAATACTCAAAGTTTTCTATGCAGTATTCGCCGGAGGAAACAGAGGAAGAGAAGGACTTGGCGCCAAACAGCGAAAAAAAAATGGAATGAATGATACAATGTTGCTGACTCGGCTATAATCACGTAAGTAAGCTATAATTGCCAGTAAGGAAGAAGAAGAATAAGGCTACATTGGCATCCGCATGGTCAGCAACATTCCAGTATGAAAGAAAGACCTCCGCTTCATTGTGAATTTTGGCGAAGGGTCAGACTTCAATATGTGTGTCGTAGCCGATCGACGAACAGAAAAAACTATTGCCGTGCTATTGCTGACACGGCTCAAGAATAAGAAGAATTTTGTTGCTTACGCTGTTGAAGGTAATTTTTTTAAACCGATTTCTTTCTTCTGTGACGCTAGTCAGCCTAAAATTATGCCACTTAAAATGTTTATCACTCTATCCCAGTGGTGTTTTTAGCTCTCAGAAGCAACATTAAAGTTCAATGACATTGGGAGACTGACTGCCAATTTTGCTACTAATTTTCCTTGCATAAAATGGTGTCGCTTTCACTGATCATAGTATTTTTTTTTTGGCTTTGCAGCCAACTAAAATATATCTAAATTAAAAATAAAAGCAATATTTCAGAAACATGCTTTATTGTAGATAATTGTAGATGTTCGAATGGTAACCCTATACATACTTACTCCATTTTTGTCGTACTGTGGCATAACAACATCACTCTGAAAACTATACTACACAGCTGAGCAACTCCATACCTAAAAAATCTCAGTAAACAGCTGACTTTATTTAAATTGTAGTCACACTCATATTCTCTTTCTTACTCTCTTTTTTAATCTCTTGAATGAGTCATTCGTTTGAACTTTGATTTCCTATATTTTTGAAATACCCTGAAGATTGAAAAAAGTTTTTTGCTGTGATAACCTTTTCCACTGAAAATTAATTACACCTTAGAAAATCCACAGACGCCAGAAGATCGACTTTATACTTACTTGTTTTTATACATATATACACAGCTAGTATTTCTTTATACAAAAATGAAAACAAAGATTTTTATGCTGAATAATGAACATTTCTTCTTTATTTTTAATCAAAATATTTCCTTTTTTATTTGATTTTTATTTTGTATAAGATTGCTTTTTTTCTCTGGTAGCTTTTCATATTTTTTAATTTTTTGTATAGCTTTTTTCTAATATAATATGTATATATATTTGTATATATTTACCCCTTCACCAGCTTCTGCTTAGAAGCCTGGGAAACTGTGTGCGCGCTCACGATGACCACTAGCATGTCCCATGTCCTCAAAGTGTGGAAAGTGTCTACCGAATGGGCCTGCTCCTGGACCATGTTCATGGTGGCCTCTACCACCACGTCCAAAAGGACCAGCATGTCCGGGAAAAGAAGGCATGTGACCAAAGTGACCATGACGATGAGGGTGATGATGAGGGTGGTGGTGGTGATGGTGGTGCTGCATTCCATGGTGTGGATGTGAGTGTGGATGCATACCCATACCCATACCCATATGTGGCATCATACCTGGAAAACCCAATGTATGCCTACCTTGTGGAAATCCTCGCATTGAAGCCCTTGGACCGTGTGCGCCACGTAAACCATGGCCACCCATTCTTGGAAAGTGTTGATAGGGATGCGACCGCATACTGAAACCTTGATGAGTATTCCTACCACGTCCACGCCTATTTACCTCATGCTCGGTTTCACTTTCGCTCGAACTCGATGAGCTACTATGTCCACAAGCCTGCGCTTGATAGATGGTTTCATTTAGTCGTCGTTGCGCCTTGGCTGCGCGTTTGATGGCCTTGCGCAAAGCGGCACGTCCACTAGCGTTGGGTTGGTTGGCATCACGTCCAAGTTCACGATCACAACAACCTTCGATATTTACCATTTTCACACAAACGCACTCTTCACTTGCGAATTTCACAACGAAAATGTATTACTCACACTCACTGCTGGAGCTTGTGTATATGTTTGCTTTGTGTATTTACTTTTGCTCTCTTTTCTACGCCCTTTTTTTTGTTATAATTTTGTTATTTTGCTCTCTTCTTCGCTTTAATTTTTTTACACACAGCTGCTTGTTGATAGCAATATTTTTTCGGCACTAGAATATTTTGCAATTTCTGTGTTTGATACGTGTTTTCACTCTTCACTTTTTCGGTTTGATGTTATGAAATATTCACTTGATTCGCTATAACTTATGCCTCAGCAATTTTGGCTTTGAAACACTTTATACACTTGCCTTTGAGTTGTAACAACCACTGACATCGTTGCCTTTGTGTGTTGGGCTTTTTATACTCTTCTCTCCCGACGCACTCAGGTGAACCCCAAAACATTTCTTTATACATTCGTAAATGTTTAAGTATTGGTAAACTGATAATTGCTTATCTACATACGCTCATAATGCCCGGTAGGAACATTTACAAAATTTATCGAAAATAAGTAAAAAAATAAGTGAAAATGAAATTGGGTAAAAGAAGTAAAATTAAAAAACTAAATAAAATCAAAGAAAACAAAATAAAACAAAAAAAAATTTTATAAAAACCATATGACATTCAATAAAAAATAATAAACTAATATTAATATAAAATAAATAAAATTGAAAAATAACAAAGTAAAAGGAAGTTAAAGAAAATAAAATTAAACAAAACGAAATATATAAAGTAAAACACAAAATAATAAAAAAAAAATTAAAAAATTAAATTAAAGAAATCTAATTAAAACCAAATAAATAAATAAAATAAAAATTTAATAAGGAAAACATAACTTGAAATGAAATAAATTTAATTAAAAAAATTAAATAAACTAAAATGAAATAAAACAAATTGGAAATAAATGAAATTAATGGAAATAAAAAAAAGGAATAAACTAAAATAAAATAAAATTAAATCTATTAAGTAAACCACGAGGCCTTGTTGTTTGTATGAATTGAATATTTGTTATGCAACAAAGAAAAATGGTAGAAGAGACAGCTGTTTCGGAGAACACCACATCTGCTCATCAGACTTCTTATGGTAGGGATCGAACCAACAGATCCTGACTTAACAGGCGAGCGTTCTACCACTGCGCCAACATCAGGCATATAATCTGTTTTTGTATTAAAAAAAATTCAATTTAGTATAATAAGTTAAGAAAATTGAAATGCAATAAAAAATAATCTTGAAATAAAAGAAAACAAAACAGAAATCAAATTAAAAAAAAAATATAATAAAATGAACTGACAAATTATAAGGAATTAATGAAATTAGAAAGATATAAATGATAACAAAATGCGAAATGAAATCAAATAAAATAAGCTAAAGAAAACTGAACTCAAATAAAATAAATTAAAGCAAAATAAATTTTATATATATAAAAATGTGAAATGAAGTACAAAAAAATCATATGAAAGAAAAACAAAAAGGACAAAAAATTAAATGAAATAATAAAAATATAAATGAAAACAAAATACAAAATGAAATAAAATATAGTTAATGAAATTTAAATTCAATTTAAATAAAACGAAGATAAACAAATTTAAACTGAAATAAAATAAATTAAAGCAAAATAAACTCTAGAAATACATAAAAATGTAAAATAAAAGAGAAGTGGAAATTAAAAATATTTAATAAAAAGAAATTTAAAAGTGAAATAAAATAAACCGTAAAATGAAATAAAAATAATAATATAAAATGAAATAGTATAAAACAAAATGGAATTCAAAAAAATATAATTAATAGGAATTAAAAGGAATTAAAAACTGTAAAGTTTAAATAAAAATATAATAAAATAAAAGAGATGAAATAAAAAATTAAATTAAATTAATTAATAAATAAATTAAAATCTTTAAAAAGAGATCGAAATGAATTAAGATAACATAAATAATGGAAAATGAAATAAAAATTAAAATAAATAAAATTAAATTAAAGGGAATTAAACAAAGCAGAAAATGAAATATAACTTAAATTAAATAACAATAAATGGTATTAAAAACAAATCAATTTAAGTTCCATTCAATTTCTTTAACATATGGAAAAAGTTTCCTACATAGACCTCCATGTTAAATTTAGAAATATACTTATGTTTGGAATTTTCTAGATAACCATCATCTATATTACATACACATGTACATTTTATTTTGTAATAATAAATACACATACACATGTATATAGATGAGCTGATTAAATTTTGTATAAAAAGTGCTCCACAAAATAGCAAGTGATTTCACCACAACTAACTGTAATTAACATTTTCTTTACCAAATAATGTGTAATTATTCTGCATGTTATTTCACAACATCCACGATTAGGCTACATTCTTTTTTAGTTTAAGTGATATAAGTGTTGAATCAAATCAGATAGGTTTTGTCGCCATCCTCGTCCATAAACCACTGTTTGTTTCTTCCAGCTGCTTTTACTAGAATTGAAATCCCTCCCGTATTTACAAGGGTTGATATAACCCACATATCCAGGCCTATTCTCACTGTTCGCGGTAAAGTAAATTTTGTTCCTTTTTTTAACACCCGAAATTGAATTTGGTATCCTGACGAACTGATTACAATGTTTGAAAACAATTTGGCAGCACTGCTTTTTCCGTCCATGTCAAATTACATTTGGCAGCGGTTAAAATAAAAAAGAATAATATTCACATCGAAATAAAAGACGGTACACAAAAAAAAATCAATCAGTTTTATTAATTTGTTTATTAAATCATAAATATTTATGGAAAAGATGCCTGGACAACAAAAAAAAGCTGAATGAAACCGTTATCTTACAAATTCAAAGAACTATTTTTTGTCCCGAAATCTTCTTAAAATACGCCTTTTTGCACTTTTTTCTTCATCTTCAATAAATTCCGGACTAAAATATGCCTACCCATTTTGGTTTTTATTTTTTCTCAAACTAACAACAAAAATCAAACAGTTGATTTTTTGTTACCTCCTATTTCTCTGGTAACAAAATTTACAGCGTGACAGTGAACTTAGAATACAAAATAGTAACAAAATTTACTAAATGGTAAATTTTAATACCAAAGTAAATTTTGTTACCTCGACAGAATAGGCCTGATAATAAGTCATTGACTAAAGTAATATGAGCAGAAAGAAATTCGTTAAGACAAAAAAGTATCTTAAGTTGAATATAAATTAAAATAAATATCTGTATTGAATCAGTGCATAAGTTCGTGCCCGATTTCAAGTGCTCACTAAAATTGAAATTATTTGAAGAAAGCGCTTTTATTAATCAATTACGTATTCGTCATCATGTTCGACAATCCACTCCCAACGTTCAACCAATTTACGGATGCCTGATTCATAGAAATTGCCTCGGATATCCCACCAAATGCACAGCAGTACCTTCATCGGATGCAATCCACGTTTCGACATCGGTTCCGCCCCTTCGTGTGCCTGTTACCATGTTCTTTTGCGTTGAACATTGTTGTAAAGGATCCATTTTTCATCACCAGTCACGAGCCGATCCAAAAAAGGTTCGTTTTTGATCCGTCGAAGCAAAGAAATTGCTGTTGACATACGGTCCACTTTGTTTTTTTCACTCAACTGATGTGGCACCCATGTATCGAGCTTCAAAGTGTACCCAACCTTTTTTAAACGACGAAACGCAGTTGATTTGTTGACGTTCAATTCACTGGCAACCTCTTCCGTCGAAATACGTGAGTTATTCGCAACTAAAGTCCTTAGAACATCGTCATCAAGCTCAGAAGGCCGTCCACTGCGAGGTTGATCTTCGAGGTTAAAATCTCCAGAACGAAATTTCGCGAACCATTTCTTTACTGTGCGGAGTGCTGGAGCACGGTCCAAATAAACTTCGCGAATATCTTTAGTTGCAGCGCCTACTGTTTTTCCTTTGCGGAATTCGTATAACATAATATGACGCATATGATCTTTTTCGTTGTCCATCTTCCATGCGTCTTTTCACTAAGCAACTCAAATCAAAATGAAGTTATTTTATGCTTGATTTACAGTTCGGACTGTCACCTTTCCAACGATATATAATATGTATATATTTCTTTCACGAGCGCCACTCTCAAACGATTCGAACGGCATCCAGCGGAATCGGGCACGAACTTATGCACTCATCCAATACAAGAGTTGAAAGCTTGCCTATTTTGCCTCATACGGCTTTCCTTAACATTGCTCGAATGAACTGTCGAGCAGCAGAAAATCGACTGCAAAACTAAACCACCCAGAAGCAGCTTTACCTAGTGCGGAAATGCCTCCGCGCAAAGTTCGTTCTTCTCATACTAAATATTTTTCTTCAAAAAATATCAAACAAATATTTAGAAAGCCTCCCCTCGTATAGAATCGATTCTTTTTGTGCCTAAAAATATACAATTTTTTTTAAATAATAAATTTTATGCATATGTTTCAAAAAAGTAGCCTACAATTAGGAGCATAGTTTTCATGCCTTTTATGTTTAAAATTCATGTATTATAATTTAATTTTCTAAAATATTTTTTCTGCGCCGAAAGTAACCTGCTTCATTGCTTTCAAAAGGATTGCTCTTTGAACAACGTTTACTATTTTAGTTAATTTTTTTTTGCACGTTCATTGTGCATTGCTCGAAACTTCTCAAGATGAATGTACATTACATAAAAATGTACTACCCGGTACACTCATTGGTCCGGAGGTATAATTGGACCTTTTTTCTTTGGCCTGCAATTCAAGAACACGAATATTTTCCGACCGCGAAATCTTTCGTGTTGGTGGTGTCAATTAGTCACCGAGGTCGTCCGATTTGACATCGAATTTGACTTTTTTATAGGGCTACGCGTAAGCCGTTAAACCTATAACTCTTGAACACTTCAAAACAAACATTCGTCAAGTTATGGCCGAGATACCCCTCAATATATGCCAAAAATTAGTCGAAAATTCTGGAAGCAATCATTTCATATCCTATAATAAAATAGGGTTTCATAATAAACAATTATTTTAAATGCATTTTATTAGCGTTGGTTTACGAAATCCCAAAACCCTGTACAATCTAGCTATCAATTAATGGAAGCTTAGTTAAAACTTCATTGGACCTCGCTTAAATGTTTTTTTTTCTTTTTTTTTTTTTGAGTATTCTACTGGCATCAGAAAAAAGAGTTTCGACTCGTAATGCACAAAAGACTTCTTCATGTCTACGTGTGCTGTATTGAGTCCGCACAATCTGTAAGCTGAGCTCACGATTTATTTTACTGACCACTGTTCCTTCGACTTCGGTTCAGCTCGTATCAGATGCACTATATGTCTAACCATCGAACACTTCTGGAAGCGGGGCACCTGGGCTAACTGTTTGAGACCTACTGCGCTATTATTCCAAAAGAGCTTTTAAGAAAGGCAAAACGATTTGATGTCTTATTGTTGTTGTCTTTAGGTTGGCAGCTTATGGTTTAACGATTTTTCTACGGAATAATAATACATTTTGGTTGTGGTTTTTTTTAGCTTTATTGATTTATATATTTAATATATTTGTGTATATAATACGGATTATATTATATGTATCTTAATTATAATACTTTTTAACATTTTAATTTTTTTTTCTTTTTTTTTCTTTTATTTTCTAACGTTTATTGAAATATCTTTCTTTCGAAATATCGTACGTATATATTTACATACATATGTATGTAAATAAATATTTATATTTTTTCTTAAACAATTTTAAAACAAGTTTTTCACTTCCCCCTTTTCAATTCCCCGGCACACTATGCGCTCTACGCCTGCGACCGCGCTCTTTGCCATAAAACATAGGTGGCATGCCATAAAACATGGAAGGATCGATATTTTCATGTCTGGATAATCTGTGATGTCCACGAGACCCTTCCCTGTTCTTACCGTATTGCATATAAGCCGGTGGCGGTATCGGCATAGGCCATCCGGTTATTTCACCTCGATGAAAAAATGGTGAAAATTGTCCATTTTGCTCAAAACCATGACGTTCTCGCGAATGAGGACGTGAATGATCTCTAGAACTCCATCGACCTCGTGAATGCGAGCGATCTCTGGAATGCGATCGACCTCGTGAATGTGAACGATCACGCTTACGATGGTTACGCTTCTTCTTATTACCAGTTTTTGGCAGTATTTGTTCCTTATTTTTATGTTGCTTTTTAGACGTCCCTCTTTCACGTGACGCCGAGCGACTACGTGGTTTACATCCTAAACTTCCTCCCGGCCTAATATTCGATCGGCCGTGGTGGCAGTGGTGACGACCATATTGAATGGGGGGAGCTGTTTGGAGGCTGGCGCCACGAAAAAACTGCGACAAATGTGATATTTGTTGATCACGTGTCTTGGAATGCCCACGTGAGTGACCGCGGGAGCGTCCACGCGAATGACCGCGTGAGTTGCCACGAGAGCGACCTCGTGAGTGCGAACGCGAACGAGAACGATCACGTCCGCGTCGATCCCGTCGTCCATGATGACGTTTACGACCATGGTGTCGTTTGGAAGGCTTCTCGGCGGGATTTGTCAAATCGATCATTATCTCAGCATCGCTGCCACTGGAACTGGAACTAGAGCTGGAACTGGAGCTGGAGCTTGTATCCGAACTGGAACTAGATGAGCTACTTTCTCTACGCTCTTTTCGCTGTTTGTGCCTTTGCGACTTCTTCTTCCTATCGCTCCCATTCGACGCTTCGAGTCGTTTAATGGCCTCGTTCAGTAGCTTCTGTGCTTTGTAGGCCTTCTTTACAGCTTTCTTCAGCAATTTTTGATTATCGGTAACTTTCTTGGTGACGTCTGCTACTGGTGCATGACTGCAACAGGCTTCAGGCTCAATCATGACTATTTCCTCGTTGCTCGACGGCTCGCTGTGTGGCATTTATTGGAAAATAGTAAATAGTTTCTAAGTTTATTTTTCTCACCTTTTCAACTTTTTCACTTCAACTTTTGTTTTCACTTTTTCTTCAGTTACTTTGCGGCTTTCAATGCTGACTACTGTTGACGCTATTCAACTACTGCTGATTGCTTGCCTGCTGCGACATTTTATACACAAGCAGAACGTTGGCAAACGTTTACGCTTCGTGTGTTCAACGTTGGCCGATGCAGTGAGCGTCGCTGCGCGCCAGAGTGAATCACCTACGAGCGTTTGTAAACGTTTACGTTAATTCCCTTTGCCTATTAGTTGTTATTCTACCTAAGTCGCTGATAAGTAGTGGCGTCGCATCAGTTGGGAAATATTTGCGAATAAGTTCATTATATACAAGTTATTTATATGTAAAATATTTCTTTTTTTTTTAGTTTTTATATTCCGAATCCGCACATCCGAAATCTCCAAAAAAGAAAATTTTAGAGCGGTAAAGTTATGATTCAAAATCTCGCATCTCGGCAGTCAAATGTGAATCTATAATTTTATTGATTCCGACTGGAACTAAGGGACGAGCTAGAGTTCAACAGCCGACATGTCGTCGACCTTCCTTTATCTCTTTTAAGACGGGTGAGATGGTCATATTAAAGATTGTGTAGCTATATTTTGGAATTTAGGAATAAAAGAGTTCATCTCTGGGAAATTTTGAGGACTTTTGAGCTTAATTCGGAACCAAGAATTTCTGGATAAAGTCGATAAGATAACGTAAATATTCCCTTCAACATAACCTTCCACAACTGGCAAATATGCCGGTGTTGAAAATGAAGAATAAGAGAGCTTACACCCACCCGTTCTTCTTTTTAATTGTCTTAAGAACCTTATACGTGATTGTTACCCTGTCAACAAGAGCGCGTCGTTTCTATTTTTCGCTATTTAACTCCAATGGGAGGCACCAAGTGAAGACAACTCCCTCCCATCGCAAGCTTCCAACACGGAGAGGAAATTTTCCTTTACTTCAAACATCTGGTACTATCGAAATCTCTGGCAAAGCTGGAGTAGTTTTATTGATCAGGACAACAAAGTCTAGCCAGCGTAGCCGCGGCATATTTACAGTGGGTCACAGCTTATTTGATGCAATTAATTCTAAAATAACATATTCAAATTACTTTCAATCTTAATTTCCATATTTTGTGTGAAAGTCTTTCGACTTATAAAGAGTCTGGATCCTGGTTGACATTGATTGGACCAACTTTTGTGTGGTTTCTGGGGTAGCGGCTTTTTCAATTACTCTTTGCTCGAAATTTTGAGGCTTCGAATGTTTTTGTTTAATAAAGCACACAAATTTACAATAACATTCATATCAAGTGAGTGTGCCGAGGGTGTCATCAAATGGGGACAGATCCATATGAGCCAGGATTGGACGACTGCTGCTTTGTGTTTTGGGTCGTTATCTTGATAAAAGTGAAATTTTGTTATGCCAAGATTTTCGGTACTCTGCAGCATTGTCTATACTCCCTTCAATAAACTCCAAATTACCTACACCGGCTGCGGACATACAAACCCAAACCATCACACTTCCACCGCCATATTTCACTGTAGCTCTCAGGTTCTCCTTATTTAGCTCTCTATTCTTTTTTCGCCAAACGTAAGATATGCCTTCGGACGCAAAAATAAAATAGAATTTTGACTCATATGGGACTTGCAAACATGTACCTGAGCGAACTTTAATCGTCATATTCGATTTTTTTTTGCTGTTAAGCGGTTAATTACGAGCTCCTCGGCCATTAAAATCATATTCGCCGAGAATGCGGAGGATAGTTTCAGCGCTGCATGTTCTCCCTAATTCTTGCTAAGCACAACCAATTTTGGAGCCGATAGTTTGGGGTTAACCTTGATTTTTGGAACAATACCTCTGTAAACCAAGTATTTTCTAAAACTTCTTCAATATTTCTACCTATGCCTTTTAAAGAAAATTGCACTTCTAATGTAATGAGCATGAGCGGAGATATCTTCAAACCGAAGCGACGCCACTACTTATCAGCGACTTAGGTAGAACAACAACTAATAGGCAAAGGGAATTAACGTAAACGTTTACAAACGCTCGAAGTGTAAACGTTTGCCAACGTTCTGCTTGTGTATAAAATGTCGCAGCAGGCAAGTAATCAGCAGTAGTTGAACAGCGTCAACAGTAGTCAGCATTGAAAGCCGCAAAGTAACTGAAGAAAAAGTGAAAACAAAAATTGAAGTGAAAAAGTTGAAAAGGTGAGAAAAATAAACTTAGAAACTATTTACTATTTTCCAATAAATGCCACACAGCGAGCCGTCAAGCAACGAGGAAATAGTCATGATTGAGCCTGAAGCCTGTTGCAGCCATGCACCAGTAGCAGATGTCACCAAGAAAGTTACCGATAATCAAAAATTGCTGAAGAAAGCTGTAAAGAAGGCCTACAAAGCACAGAAGCTACTGAACGAGGCCATTAAACGACTCGAAGCGTCAAATGGGAGCGATAGGAAGAAGAAGTCGCAAAAGCACAAGCAGCGAAAAGAGCGTAGAGAAAGTAGCTCATCTGGTTCCAGTTCGGATACAAGCTCCAGTTCCAGTTCCAGCTCTAGTTCTAGTTCCAGGGGCAGCGATTCTGAGATAATGATCGATTTGACAGATCCGGCAGCGAAGCCTTCCAAACGACACCATGGTCGTAAACATCATCATGGACGACGGGATCGACGCGGACGTGATCGTTCTCGTTCGCGTTCGCACTCACGAGGTCGCTCTCGTGGCCACTCTCGCGGTCATTCACGTGGACGCTCCCGCGGTCACTCACGTGGACATTCAAAGACACGTGATCAACAAATATCACATTTGTCGCAGTTTTTTCGTGGCGCCAGCCTCCAAACAGCTCCCCCCATTCAATATGGTCGTCACCACTGCCACCACGGCCGATCGAATATTAGGCCGGGAGGAAGTTTAGAATGTAAACCACGTAGTCGCTCGGCGTCACGTGAAAGAGGGACGTCTAAAAAGCAACACAAAAATAAGGAACAAAAACTGCCAAAAACTGGTAATAAGAAGAAGCGTAACCATCGAAAGCGTGATCGTTCGCATTCACGTGGTCGATCGCATTCACGTGGTCGATCGCATTGCAGAGATCGCTCGCATTCACGAGGTCGATGGAGTGCTAGAGATCATTCACGTCCTCATTCGCGAGAACGTCGTGGTTTTGAACAGAATGGACAATTTTTACCATTTTTTCATCGAGGTAAAATAACCGGATGGACTATGCCGATACCGCCACCGGCTTATATGCAATACGGTAAGAACATTGAAGGTTCTCGTGGACATCACAGATTATCCAGACATGAAAATATCGATCCTTCCATGTTTTATGGCATGCCACCTATGTATTATGGCAAAGAGCGCGGTCGCAGGTGTAGAGCGCATAGTGTGCCGGGGAATTGAAAAGAGGGAAATGAAAGACTTGTTATAAAATTCTTTAACCAAATAAGAAAAAAATATAAATATTTATTTGCATACATATGCATGTATATACGCACGATATTTCGAAAGAAAGATATTTCAATAAGCGTTAGAAAATAAAAGAAAAAAAAGAAAAAAAATAAGATAAAAATATAATATAATCAGTATTATAATTCTTAAAAAACAACAACAAAAAATGTAATTTTATTCCGTAGAAAAATCGTTAAACCATAAGCTGTCAACCAAAAGACAACATCTTTTTGCCTTTCTTAAAAGCTCTTTCGGAATAATAGCGCAGTAGGTCTCAAACAGTTAGCCCAGGTGCCCCACTTCCAGAAGTTTTCGATGGTTAGACATATAGTGCATCTGATACGAGCTGAACCGAAGTCGAAGGAACAGTGGTCAGTAAAATAAATCGTGAGCTCAGCTTACAGATTGTGCGGACTCAATACAGCACACGTAGACATGAAGAAGTCTTTTGTGCATTACGAGTCGAAACTCTTTTTCAAATGCTAGTAGAAGACTTTCTCGGAAAAAATAACAAAAAATACAAAAAAAGAAACTAGAAAGAACTAGAACGGCTTTATACTTTTTAGGACCACAAAAAGTTTATGGTATTTCTCGTATCTAAAAAATTTGTTGGAGGGGAATATATGTTATAGTCTTAGCAGATTTTGTGATGGAGGCCTGACCAAACCCTCATATCTGAACAAATCAGTGCATGGGAACTATACGTTATATAATTAGCCGAAGCTAGTCCTCATAATGGTGCACCAAGTATGCTCTGTATATCAGTCACCAGATTACAACCTTGGCTCCTATTGTTTTGCTTACAAATCCTGAGCCACACTGATTAGGTCTTTTTTAGTTTAGAAAACTGTACATAGATACCCGAAAAATCTATGTTACACTTACTGAGGCCTTCGATCAACTAGATCCCAAAAGTGGATATTGATTTATTAAAATTAAGAATTTTATTAACTTATTCAATTGGCGTTATTTTCATATCCGTTACATATTATTTTAACGATATCTTCACCCTCTCTCTCTCTGTCTTTTAAGCATCCAAACCCAACGCAAAGCCTGGTTTGCTGCCAGTTTTCAAATAATAGATGCCACGCGCTGACAAAGGCACAGGGTCGCCCATTAATATTTTCGGGCCAGTACAATTTCGCCCAATCAATTCCTTTAGCGAGGCACAAGGGGCTGCATAGAAACCCTTTTCGCTGTGTATGGATTCAGCAAAATATTCATAGGAACGTCCGTGACTGCAGCCGGCTACAAAAGTTGAGAAAACAAAAACAAATAAACACTTCCCTAATCAAAAAAAAAAAAATGTAATCAATAAAAAGTCTCCACTTACTGAAAATTTGCGAAATTTCCGTACAACCCGGTTGCGGTGCGCCACCGCCATTTGGATAAAAATCTACAAATCCTATTGGGTCGCGAAAGCCTAAAATTCCACCACAGCTATGTATCACGTCAACGAAATCAGCGTCGGAGGGATCTAAATGGTGCTCGGGACCACTGCAGTTTTCAAAGGCAGGTCTGGCGGGATCAAGACCTAAATTTTGAATTATTAAAATTAAATGTCTCCTGTTTTTTACCCTTATGAATGCCAAGTTGACTGTTGCTCTCAGCTCACCTGTGATTCTACCCACACGATACTTAGTATACGAACCAGCATAACCCATGATATGCGCTCCCAAACTGTGACCGATCAAATGTATACGTTTCGAATCGGCATCCTTTTCTTCGACGAGTAGATCAATTAGCTTGGCTACTGCTCTGCCTACTTGCACTGTGTAGCGTGCGGGTTTCAAGTAGTAAATATTATCCGCCTGATCGCGCCAATTGATAGCTGAAGAAGATTTAAGATCTCTTAAAACCAAATTTTGAAAAAATTATCTACATTTAACTAATATTTTGTTGAAATTTATGTTTTAGGCGTTCCTCGGCAGGGAGTGTCAAACCCTCTGAGTGTATTTCTGACAGAAAAGAAAGCTGCTCATAAAAAACCATCAGCCGTTTGGAGGCGGCTTAGTTTAAACTGTAGGTCCCTCCATATGTTGGAAAAACATCAAGACGCTCGGAGGGGCTCGGCCGAAATCACTTCAGCGTTTACAGAGCGCCTATTTTATATATACATATAATATATGCTTTATGCGTAGCACCCATGACCCTTAGTGTTTTTCAGTTTAGAATTCAAGAGAACTCAAACCATTCACTATATTACTCAGTCTCCGTTTTAACGCACTCTTTCGTCTGACTACTTACACATATCCTGATACTCGCTTAAGCTCCTTTCTCGTATTTCCTTTGAAACCACTATAACTCACCAAAAATATTCAAATTCCCACGCATTGTATATGCACCACGTATCGACTGTATGGAATCACTGGTGGTGCTAGACTTCCAACCGTGTACTAAAATTTTCGTATCCAAGTCGGCATTGAATTTGCCAGCCATTTCTTCCCAAGTATCCCGCTTCTGACGGCTATGTGGTTCGTCCTGTCTGCGCATATAATTCGCCACGGATATTTGCATTGTTGTAGGATTGGCTGTATTCGAGCTGAAAGAAGGCCAATTATTATTAAATTCTAAATAATAAAAAAAAAATTTTAATTAAACAAAATTTATACCCTTCGAAAAGCTCTACATTGACAAATTCAGGTAAATCGTCTTGTTGACTATCCTGCGGTGGCTCAGTTAAGTAAGCAATATGAGGTTTGCCGTCACCATCCGGCATCCACATCCATGTTCTGCCGTAGTCCTTTTCGTCAGGAGTGCCTTTTGCACTGCATAAGACAATAGCTGGAAAAAATTTTTTAAGGGCAAAAATAAAATGTAATATTTTTTATTTTGTATTATTTTTTTATGCTATTGTATTTTGTTTAAATTTATTATTAGGTATTTTATTTTGTTTTATTTTATTTTATTTTATTTTATTTTATTTTATTTTATTTTATTTTATTTTATTTTATTTTATTTTATTTTGTTTTATTTTACTTTACTTTAATTCATTTTTACCCGAAGTCAATAGCAGGTGAAACTCTTTCATTTCTAACCGTAATGTTTCGTCTTCGTTGAACACTTTAATTGGACTAAATATATTTAGTTTAAACAAAACACGATTTATTGTGTTAAAATGCTTTACTTTATGGAAATTTTTTCAGCCTTTACCATCAATGTCTATCGACTTGAAAACCCCTTTACTTACATGAGGTACCTGATTTCCGCAATATATGTACTTACATGGTTACGCCTACCGCCTGCTGTTAAATAGGCTAGATAATACCGCACAACATTGAGGCATGAAAGTGTATTGAAAAAACAACGTATACAAATAGTTTAATTGCCTATTAAATGATATTTCAAAATAATTTAATTAGAATAAGCGCAAATTGAAATATGAACAGAAAAAAAAACTAAGTGAAATATACCAAAGGAAAATACATAAAAATTAATTTAAATTAAATTCAATATAATTAAATAAAATAAAATGTAAAAAAATTCAATTAATAAGTAATTAAAATTAAACTAAAGTAAGCAAAGTAAAACAATTTGAAAAAATAATAGAAATAAAGTATTTTTAAATGAAATAAAATAAAATAAAAATAAAAGTAAATTAATTTAAATAAAATAAAAAATAGGGTAAATGAATTGTATTAAAACCAAATCAAATAAAATGAAAATAAATAAAAATATATAAATTAAAAATTAATAAATTAAAATTATGTTGAATAAGAAAATTAAAACAAAAATAAAAACGAAATTTAAAATGAAAAAAAATAAAAGCCTCCTGCGGTATATGTATTTGGACGAGTATTGGTTGAAATATTCAGGACTCCTCTATCCAAATCCAACGTTGGTATAATCAAGGCACTTAAAACTATTGACGATGCCAAAAGACATTCAAAAATGTTATACAACGAATTTTGCTAACTAACTGAAAAAGCCTGTTCGTCCGAGTCTACTGATGAATATTTACTGTGTTTGGCCGATGAAAGGTACATGGAAATAGTCGGCGAAATATTTTTTTTTTGCTACAATGAGTGTGCGGATATTTAACGATTTATCCAACAAACCGGACCAGAATGCCTGCCATTATTAGAAAGAAACCTAAGACCTTGTTGGAATGAGTATATGCCCAGCTGGAAATTAAAGTGACCTGTGTAACTGGTGCTTTAAATAATGACAAAGTAATGCAGAGCAATACAGTGGACGTAATGCTCCATGCCCTGCGGGTTAGAGGCTTGAGAGTTTACCCGAGGTAAGGCAAGCCATGTCCCTCTCCAATTGATTTTTCCAGCTGCATGGACGTCTTACTTTTCCTCTGTGATTACTGCATCGAATATTTTCAATACTGGGATGCTCTCATACATTTAGACAACATGGTCTAGTCAGCGTAAACGTTGTCTCTTGATTTGTTGAATTATGTTGCAATATATCCCCACAGATCATCATTTATTATATTCGCTCCGACTCCTCAGACGTTGTCATCGTCCCGGACACCGCACCGAGTAGTGCGACAAAATGATGAGGAGCTTGAGAGTGTTGGTGTTTATTCCATGAGAGTGGACTTAAAATTTCATTTACTTACTCAGTGAAAAGTAGCTACTTTTGGCAAGAGTGATTCTGCATTAGATTTTAAGGTTAACATTGTTGTTAGTGTTAATGCTGTCATGAATGCGTCTGTTTGTCTGTCTGATAACATAAAGTACTTTGGCTTGTACTTATTCCCTATTAGACCCATGCGCCGCGCTTGATCATGACCTGTCATCGTAGGTGAATATGTTTCTGACCCTTTGCGCTGGTGAGAACTTTACACATTCTTCCACGAAATCAATGGCGAATAGTTTCCCCATATGAACAAAAGACGATGGTTATTTTCTGCCCATTATTTCGCGAAACCTATTACTCCAGCTGACCGGCAGCCCCGGGGGCAAAGACGCTAACATACAAGACGATCGGCAGGGCGGTGTTGTTGTCGTTGTTTTTATAGCAGCTATTAAAGCCCGGGAGCAGGCAAAATCAGTTTAAGTCGATGAACATATCTAACGAGAATACCAGGAAACGAAATGTCCCGATGTGTTCAGACCAGAGGGAGAGGGGGGTGTTTAATAAATTAGTTTTAGAGGGCATGCAAAGAGGTGGGTAGTTAGTGTATGTTGGAGACTACTTAGACGGGCATAAAAAGTTGCTTACCATTTGGAATTTCGCCCTGATGATCGTGACGAAAGACCTCCAAAATTTTATGTACATCACTTTCATAGCGAGATACTTACAAAGCAGAATCTACGAAATGGTATCATAGTGACAATCTTTGAAAGCACCTGCTTGGAGCGGAACTTCCTCTTCAAGTTATTCGCAAAGAGGCGAACAACACTTTGTCCAGCTCTATTTCCAAAAGTCGCATCATCGTAATCCAAACACCACTAATTGCAGACGTAGAGATCTACCTCGAAGGTATGAATATTGCAACAAACTAAGGTCATACTTCTCAATTCTCGACGTCAGCATACCAGGCGAATCTATATATGTGCGGTGAGGCATGCCTGTCTTAAGAGGCGACTAAAATCTAATAGTTTCCGCGACGTCGTACCGGAACGACCCGGATTTTTATCCGACCAAGGACTGACACTCACGCATATATTACATATACTAACAAAAAGAAGTACGCCTGCAGGTGAGGTGCTTATGAATTTACACAGGGTGAGGCACGCCAGCCGTAAAGGACGACTAAAATACTGTTACGATTTTACTAAATCAACCTCGATTATTTTCTAGATCCTTCGGGTACGATCTCTGGATTGTTAAATAAAAACTCGCCAACTTAATTTGCAGTTTCTTTCGTTATAAAGATTCTATCTAATGTCCTTTATTTTCTCAGTAATTCACAATTCAATTATACTGCACTTTACTATTTATAATCACTAACATCAACTTTCACAATTT